CTTCAGCTGGTTCCAAATCAATAATTTTTTCAGGTATAGTCCATGATTCTGTGCAATTCGGAAAGAGCTGATCGTGATATTGCCTGCCCTGCACTTGTTGAAATGTAATTTTTATAGTTTTTTCAAGTAGCATATATGCTACCAATCGCTGTACCTCTACTTTAATATCATCGAGAGCCAACAATTGAAAGTCATTAAACCAGCCACCTGCACATTTGTAATTATTCAATCGGCTTTCCAAATTTATTGACCATGTCACAAACCATTGGGCATTTTTTTTAATGGAATGGAATCTAACGCCATTTGACGAATATTTTTTGACCAAGTTACCAGAAGATCCTCTACGCCATTCTGATATAACAACCATTCGATCAATTGTGCTCTCTCGAGCTGCAAGCAATTGATATTTGCATTTTCCACTTTAATATTTTCATTATCCGAAGACAATGGTAGTTGCAATCGTCAGAGTTCTTGAAATATTTTCTGGCTAAGAGTAGAAAGCATTTTAATTTGAGCTTCATGATGATTATATAGTTTTAAATCCTTCTGATTAAATCGTAGAGCTGTTCGGTAATCTCTGCAAAAAAAAAGAAAACAAAAGTTATAATATTATTAAAAATTTATTAATGAATTTGTATAAGTAAAATTATCTTCATTTTAAATCACCAAGAGCTATCGGCTGAACCATAATTTAGGCTTCGTATTTCTGATGTCATTTGCATTGTGATTGTTAATTTGTTAATTGTGTATCCATAAGATTGAACCGTTTGCGTGGAAGAATCACCACCCATTTCTCTAATTGTCCCAAATAAACCCTCGAGCATATCTTGTGACACTCTTCTTGGTTGAATTGTAACACCCGGCCAATTGGTAAGTACATATTCTACAATTCCAATAAATCCGTTGATTGATAAAATCAAATCAAACTGGCACTGGGCAGAAAACCAATGACTAGGATTTTTTTTTTGTTTGTCACCTTGAATAAACCATTGTTTTATTTCTTTCAAAGTGCTTAAGCGTGGATCTTTAAGAGAAGAAATGCATATT